ATTATGAGATATGCTTCTTTTTTAATCTTGTTATCTCAAAGTTATTTAATAGTATTCGGATGCTCACAATATTAGAAAAATATTCTATTTTTATAATTTATCTATTTATGAGAGCAAAAATGATATTTATGCAACCAATACACAGTAAAATACATCTATAATCAATCAACTTACTTGACATGGATGTTCACAAAACAGTGATTTCAATCCTTCAAACAAAACTATATCTCAAATAAAACAATATAAAACTAATACACAAAATATTGTAAAGAAGGTACGTTAACTTGAATTAGTAAGGTTACTAAAATTTCAGTGCAATAAATCAGCTATTCACGACATCGATTAGCGAGGATGATGGCAAGTGGATGGTAGTTTACAAATGAAGACTAGAATATTTATTAAAATAATCTTTCGATAAATTAACTCTATTGGAAATATTGTCAAGAGATATCACGATCAGTGTTTAGATACTTAGTCTAAAAAAGTGTATAAAAACGTTCTAAAATTCTAGATATTTTAATTTTCTTCATATCTTCAGTGTTGTGTGAGAAATGTTTGACAATTAAATTTCGAATATTTTATAAAGAAAGACAATTTGTTTTATATATTAACAAATAAACAAAAACATATAACTTTAGTACACAGTAAAAAAAAAAAATCACACAACAGACGAAACAACAAGCACAAGAAAATAATTTCTGAAGGAAAATCACAATAGGTGTATAAATATTTTTTTTCTTTAAGAAAAAAAAGATTTAGAGTAAAATCACATTTAAGATTTATCTTTGTTCTTCTTCTTTTTATCATCGTCCGTTTCACTTGCACTCTAAATATAAAAGGATACATTACTACACAGTCGAAACTAATGGGTACTTCAGAATAAATGAGTTATTTTGTATTCTGCTTATATCCAAAATCAAATGTTTCTTCAAAATATTTGGGTAAAAAATGATAAAAGAAAATTTTTCGAACTAAAGTAATGTTTTTAAGTGGAAGCTCTGCAATCTGTGATATGGATTATTTGAAAATCTGTGAGAAAAAGCTTAGCTCATCTAAACTCAAAAACATAGTGCAAAATAAGAGAAATATCAGAGAATTTTGATAATCTGAACTATTGAGTGGAAAATGCAATGTACGTTAAATTCTATTTTGAAGAGAATTCTGTGACAAATATTTTGAGAAAATATCTAAGTCTAAGAATTGAAATCGAACCGAAAAAAACAGAATAACTTCTTTATTCGAAAACATTGATTAATCCGTGGCCTGGCTTACACTGCTCGACGATGTTTTCTTCTTTTTTGCTTTTCTTGCTTTTTTTGCTTTTGTGACAATAGGAGTAGGTAAAGTTGTTAGTGGTAAATCACCACCTGCATTATCACTGTCTTTTGCTTCACCTTCACTTTCATGATTTGATTCAGCCGATGCATCAACTAGCGGTTGTTGCTGAATGGTAGGAGGTGGTACTGAAACTGGTTCTGCTATCGTTTTCTTTTTTTTTGATGAACGTTTTTCTTCCTCATTTGCACTTTCATCCGTATCCTAAACGAAAAAGTTACAAGAAATAGGCAAAATGAACACAAATATCTACTTGGAGAATGTGACATTCCAAAGTGTATATAATTTTAGTTTAACTCTTTAACAGTATTCTT